AGAAACTGGAGGAGTTGACAGCTGCCTACCAGTCGTATCTTGAGTCCTTCAATGATCACGAGTCTCATTTAAAGTCAGTCCAACTGGGAGCGTCCCCCCCAGGACCAGCCGGAGGGAGGAGAGGAGGGGCAGGAGGAGGAGACGCCATACAACGAGAGATAGAGTCACTCAATAAACTGAAAGGACGAGTGGAATCATCTGATGAACCCGTTAACAGACTAGCAGCTGAAGTTAAAGAACTCATCGAGACTACAAGTGGATCTACTGGGTATTTAATATTTATTTATTACTTTATTAATTTATTAATTTAGGATGAGTCCAGAAGTGATTAGTGTATTAGGAAAAGTCAATAAGATACTTCAACTGACCAGTCAGCAGCAGTCAGCACTCATGGACCTCTACCAGGAGAAGTACCGACTAGTGAATGAGAAACACCTCATGAAGCAATTTGAAACTGGAACCAACAAAGTATACAGTTACCTATACCTGTGTGGCTAGGTCTAATGGTGTAACGGTTGACACTTGTTGGTATTGTGTTGTTAGGTGGTTCATTGGATCAAGAGCAAGGGATTGGAAGAGGCGGGAAGTGTTGATATTGGGGAATCACTAGCAGCTGCTCTCCTACTGGAGGAAAAACTAAACAAACTAACTAATAAAGTTGAAGTGAGTACAACTACATGAGATTTATCTTATTTATTTATTTGTTTATTTATTAGAGTATGAAGGAAGATGTGACGGAGCTAAAGAGATTGGCTGATGTATTGAGAGACTTTAACGAGTCTATCACTGACCAAGAGCTCAAGAGACTCAACAAGAAATACTCAAAGTACGTGGTTCTGTACACCACGGTACTGGTACTGGTACTGTACACCACACACTGGTACTGGGTACTGGTACTGGCACTGGTACTGGTACTGGTACTGGGTACTGGTACTGGTACTATACACCATGGTACTGGTACTGGTACTGTACACCACATACACATGTACTGGTACTGTACATGCACTTTATTGAAAGTACAATAATTATTGAACCAGGTTTATATCAACTTATAAACAACGTCAAAGTTTAGTAACAAGATCAGTCTGTATGTACAGAGGACTGGAAGAGGTAAGTTCACTGAATGTACATGTACTGTACTACTGGTGATTGGTAAATTATTAAAATGGTGGGTGTTGTTATTATTATTGTTGTTGTTGTTGTTGTTGTTGTTGTTACTAGTGGAGGACCCTGTATGATCAACTGACAGTCAATTGGACCAAAGTGAAGAACAGTGAGACTGATATTGATGACTGTGAGGAGCTCATCAAATCTCTTGATAATGACAACAACCGACTGAAAGAACTGGCTGAAGCTATCCTCTTGAACGGACAAGAACTAGTCAAAGTACTTAAGGACACTGGAGTATCTCAAGGTAGCATGTTATTATTATTATTGTTGTTGTTATTGTTGTTGTTATTGTTGTTGTTGTTATTGTTGTTGTTGTTGTTATTATTGTTGTTATTGTTGTTGTTGTTGTTGTTGTTATTGTTGTTGTTGTTATTGTTGTTGTTGTTGTTGTTATTGTTGTTGTTGTTGTTATTATTGTTGTTGTTGTTGTTGTTTAGGTGATCCAGAGTTCAGGCGTTCCCTGAGGTACATCTCACGTACAACAGATGAGGTCACTGATAAAGCTCGGAGATCACAAGAAATTGCTTTAGCAAAATATGCGAGACTAGACCAGTACTCACAAATACTGGTCTGTGAGAAGGACGGGAAAGAAGTAAGATCTGTTTACATTGCATTTGTTTATTTGTTTGTTTGTTTGTTTGTTTGTTTGTTTAGAGTATCCATAAGCTAAGTGAGATACTTGATACATTAAAAGGTCGCTCTACTGTCATTGGTGATTCGTTGGAAGCCACTCAGAACTATATAATGGAATTGGAGGAGCACAAGAAAGAAGTTGACGTGAGTACTTGTACATACACATATTTATTAATAACTACTGGCCCCTCCCCTTTAGCACACTAGAGAGTATGCTAAAGGTCTTTTAGCTTCGGCTGTTAATCAAAGAGAGACTTTAGGCGGTGACCTCTCTCCTAATGAAGTGCTGCAGGCTGAGCTAAAAGAGATATCCTCAGAGCTTGAGTCCACCTTCACCTTGATCAGGAGCCTACTCCAGCGACTGGAGAGGATACAGACGGTACAGGAGGGGGCGGAGTCCAGTATCAAGTACTGGGGGAGTGAGAGGCTGTTTAGTGACGAGAGCAGCTGGAGTGAGATAGAACGAGTTTTGAATAACATGGAGGAGAAGGGAGGGGATCTACAGACAGCTGTCAATATTTGCATTAGTAAGTACTTGTACTGTAAATGATACTATTGTTTAAAGTAGGTGACAGTTTTAAAGTAACAGCTGTTGTGAATATTTATGTCAGTAATTAATTAATCTTTTTAGAGCTAGGTGGGGAATTGCTTCAGTCATTATCAGCTGATTTTGATTCGGAATCAGTTCAATACGTTGATACATTACACAAATCACTAATCGATCAAGAGATTCAGTTAACATCATTACTGACAACAAGAAGACACGAACTAAAGAATCACCAAAAGTTGATCAGCGTACATCAGGCGAATGAAGAGGTGATAATTAATATTAATTAATTAATTAATAATTACATTAGGTGTTGCTATGGATACGGGAACAAGGTCTCCCTCATTTAACTGCCTATTGCTCCCTGAGATTCAGTGTCTCCTCAATCAA